AAAAAAAAAAAAAAAAAAATGTTCAACATCATTAGTCATTAAGGAAATGCAAATTAAAACCACAATGAGTCTCTGAAATTCCTGTCTCCACAAAAACACATAAAAATTAGCTGAGCATGGTGGATTGCACTTGTGGTCCTAGCCTACTATGGTTGTGGGGCACTGAGGTGGGAGGATTGCTTGAGCCCAGGAGGTTGAGGCTGCAGGGAGCCATGATAGTACCACTGCACTATAGCCTGTTGACAAAGTAAGGCCTTGTCTGAAAAAATAAAAACACAAAAAAACTTTTCAAACTAGAGAGAGCTTGGGGATGCATAATATTGTGAATACATCAAATACTGCTAAATTTTACACTAAATACCACTGAATTGTACACTTTAAAATGTTAATTATATGTTATGTGAGTTTCATCTCAAATTTTAAAAATGTTAAATGCTAGCAAAACTTACTTTAGATTCTGAATATTAGATTTTAGTAGAATTTAAAAACCAAGGTAACTCCTAAGTTTTCAAGTAAGTAGCCTTTAAGTTACATACAAAACTAAAAGCTCATGGACAAGAGAAGTCACGTATTTTTGGGTGTGTTGGCAGCATTAGGAGACCCTTTGTGGCCTACCAGTAGGCAGTGGACCACATTTGAGAATTACTTCCCAGAAACCCCATTCACTAGCAGTGGACTTTAACAGCACAACTGTTAAAGTGCCCAGGGCTAGAGTCCTCAGTGAGGTTGAATGGTGTGGCACAGGCATGATGGCTATGCTTTGTGAAATGGAAATGAGGAAGTGGGCAAGAGCATATTTTTCTGCTCAGGCTGTAAACAGGAAGTGACCCTTCCCACTAACAGGAGTTGCTCAAGTATGTTCCATGTTTAAATATATCATTAAAAGTAAGCCTGAGGCCGGGCTTGGTGGCTCACACCTGTAATACCAGCACTTTGTGAGGGCAGATCACCTGAGGTCAGGAGTTCAAGACCAGTCTGACCAACATGGAGAAACCCCGTGTCTACTAAAAATGCAAAATTAGCCGGGTGTGGTGGTACACGCTTTGGGAAACTAAGGCAGGAGAATTACTTGAACCCAGGAGGCAGAGGTTACAGTGAGCCAAGATTACACCATTGTACTCCAACCTGGGAAACAAAAGCAAAACTCCAACTCAAAAAAAAAAAAAAAAAAGAAAGTAAACCGAAGCCCCAGTCACTTGCTGAGTTTGCCACTGGGTTTCAGTCAGGAAACAAAGTCACAGACATGACCATTTTCCAGCCCCCTAAATCTCTGCTGCTTCTCCTACAGGGGAGCTGGAGGCAAGCCTGCAGTGGATAGATCTTTGAACCACTGGCACAGTTTCCCACCTTCCAGGAAGAACGTCTCTGCCATACCTTACCTGAACATGGCATCTGTGGAGTGCATACATTCCCTTCTCCAGTAATTACATAAATTCTTGTAGAGTTAAACCAGTCATTTAAGGTTCTAAGTGGAAATCCTCGGGCAGCTGGGAAGACAAGTTTGGCAAAATAGGAGCTCTTTTAATTCAGAGGTATAGCAGGTATCAACTGAACAATTAACAGAGTATTTAATAACCATCTTGCATGTGTTTCCAACAATGCTTTTGAGATACAAGATAAAAAAGAAACATGGGCTAGGCGCAGTAGCTCACACCTGTAATCCCAACACTTTGAGAGGCAAAGGTGGGAGGATTGCTTGACCCTAGGAGTTCGGCCGGGCATAGTGGCTCACGCCTGTAATCCCAGCACTTTGGGAGGCCGAGGTGGGTGGATCACCAGGTCAGGAGATCAAGACCATCCTGGCTAACATGGTGAAACCCCATCTCTAAAAAAAAAAAAAAGAAAAAAAAAAAGACCCTAGGAATTCAAGACAGCCTGGGCAACATGGCAAGACCCTATCTCTATAAAAAATTATTTTTAAATTAGCCAGGCACGGTGGTACATGTCTGTGGTCCCAGCTACTCAGGAAGGTGAGGCGGGAGGACTGCTTGAACCTGAGAGTTTGAGGCTGCAGTAAGCTGTGATTGTGCCACTGCACTGCAGCCTCCAACATGGGCGACAGAGCAACACCTTGTCTCAAAAAAAGAAAAGAAAAGAAGAGAAAAAAAAAAAAATATGACCCTTGTCCTGAATGACATGTTACTTACGGGAAGAGATTGTGTCTTATTTGCCTATGCTTATTCCAGGCCTAGTATAACACCTATCATAATAGATATTCAGAAAAGACTTCCAAGTGAGGATTCTATCAAATTGGTGAAACATATCCATTAAAGACCAATGTAAGGCAGTGTGGTACAGAAGAAAACACTTTTGTCTTGTCTTCCCTCTGCAGCTCTCTTATGAGAACACTTGTGATGGCATTTGGGGCCACCTAATGGGGTAATCTTGTCATCTCAAGATCCTTAAATTAATTACATCTACAAACACCCTTTTTATAAATAAGGTAACATTCACAGGTTCTGAGGACTGGGACTGTGGATCCATTATCAGCCTACCACACTGAGTTCTGGCCTATGGCATGTGACCACAAGTAAGGTACACAGTTTCTAGGCCTGGCCCATAAAAGCTTCCCAAGGAAGATCTTTACTTTATTCCCTTCTCTGCTGGCTGTACAAAGAGGCCATGGAAGCCATGGGTTAAAGACACCAAGGACTAGCTGGGTACAGTGGCTCACACCTGTGATCCCAGCACTTTGGGAGGCCAAGGCAGGTGGATCGCCTGAAGTCAGGAGCTCAAGACCAGACTGACCAACATAGTGAAACCCCGTCTCTACTAAAAATACAAAAATTAGCTGGGTGTGGTGGCAGACACCTGTAATCCCAGGTACTTGGGAGGCTGAGGCAGGAGAATTGCTTGAACCCAGGAGGTGGAGGTTGCAGTGAGCTGAGATTGCACCACTGCACTCCAGCCTGGGCAATAAGAGTGAAACTCTGTCTCAAAAAGAAAAAAAAAAAAAGATAGAAAGGACCCTATTACCCTGGGTCGCTGAATAACTATGTGGAACACAGCCTCCTCTTGTCCCTGCTAATTGGTCTTTATTAAGCAGTAATCTACTGTCTTCAGCATTGATAATGTGGGGTTTATCTGTTTCAGCAGCTAGGATTATTCTAACTAATTCACTATAAATCTAAAGTTGCCCCTCTTCCCTCATCACCCTCCTTGAGGACCCTCTGTGTCCTTTATAGTAATTCCAACAGTAACTATTTTATTCACTTACAATTTTGCTTTTTATATGACTCTCACTAGACTGTAAATCTATAAAGACTATGTGTGTCTTATTCACTGTTGTGTTCCCAGTTGTCTCATAATTGGGAATTTGGCTCACAATAGGTACTCAACATATATATGTTAAAAACATAAATCAAAGAGACCTGACATACCAACTCTGCAGATGGAAAGGGAATCTTTCCTGGTCAAAGAATCAGATCATAAAGAATGATTAACAGTTAACTCCAAGGGCCTCAAGGACATCTATCTCACAAGCCCTGGCTCTTGTGGGGGCAGATGGAGGAGGGGAAGAGGTTTCCCACATCTAAGCCATGGTATAATCAGAAGACTCAGAGTAGTTCCAGACATTGGAGAAGTTCATGTAAGTTGCCTAAATCCTTTTCAAGTGGCTATGCAACTGCTGAGATGCTGAACCTTCTTGGCTAGCATTGCAGGCCAAGAAGTAGATCTTAGGTGAGAGTACCAAGAACCTCAAAAGTTGCCTGACCCTTAGCCCATAATCCTAAAAAAGAAGCCCTCTTCAGTACTATGGGGCCAAAAATAAGAGTGAATTCAAGACTCAGTATGCTACTGTCCTGAGTTCCCCAAATGTCTGTAGCAAAGAAGTACTAGACTTCCAAGTGTCCCCTGTCTCTGGATTTCTCATAGCTGTACTCCTGTCTGTCAGGATACCCTGCAATCCATTTCAGGCTTCCAGATGCTCCCTGCACTCTGGACTACCAAGCAGCTGTGGGTTACGTATAGCTTGTGAACTTCTTGGTTTCTTTATCTTTGCACTGTATCATCAAAGGTAACTGGAATTTTTTTTTTTTTTACTTCTTAACCTCCTGGTATATGGCTCTTCCACTACCTTTCTTCTCCAGCATTTCGCTGAAATTTCTCTTGCTACCATAAACAAACTCTAATTACCACAAACAATGCACACTTTTCCGTCTTCATTTTACCAAACACATCTAGAACAGCTGATACATATGACCACCCCATCTCTTGTAATTTTCTCCTCCATTGACTTTTGGTGTATTAAACTCACTTGATTCTCCTCATTTGTCTCCAGTCAGTCCCTTCTCAATCTTTGCAGATCACTAATTCCCTTCCCTTCCCTTAAATGTCAGGAACTCTATCCTCAAATCACTGAGGAAGCCCATCATGCACATGACTCCAGAGACAACCTGTGTACTGAGGATTTTCAAATCAGTCTCTAGACACAGCTCATCTCTGGAGCTCCAAGCTGCATGTCCAGTGGCCTCCCCATGTACCTCACACTTAATATGGTATAGGAGTCAAGAGTATAGGCTCAAAAAGACATCACTTATGTGGTATTCCTGCCAAGATGCATGGCCTGAATATAATCATGAGAACACAGACAAACTCAAATGAAGGGATATTCCACAAAACAATAAGTCTACATTCTTTTTAAAATGTCAATTTCATGAAAGACAAAGAAAGGCTGGGTTCCAGATTAAAGCAGGCAGAAGAAATAAGAGAAGTAAATTCAATGTGTGATCCAGAATTAGATCCTGGAGTGGGGTAAACAGTGCTATTAGAATGAGGAACAGTAACAGGACAATCATTTGAATTTGAATATAAACTACATATTTTGTTTGTTTGTTTTTTGAGACAGAGTCTCACTCTGTTGCCAGGCTGGAGTGCAGTGGTACAATCTCGGCTCACTGCAACCTCCAACTCCCAGGTTCAAGCGATTTTCCTGCCTCAGCCCCCTGAGTAGCTGGGACCACAGGCATTCACCACCATGCCCAGCTAATTTTTATATTTAGAAGAGACGGGCCGGGCGCGGTGGCTCAAGCCTGTAATCCCAGCACTTTGAGAGGCTGAGGCGGGTGGATCACGAGGTCAAGAGATCGAGACCATCCTGGTCAACATGGTGA